CCAATGGGCGACGTGAGGAGAAAGCAGAGAAGCCACGGTTCATGTTTAATATCGCAGATGGTGGTTTCACAGGTATGGGAGCTTCTCACCCCTACCTGCTCCCACTGGGATTTGCTCACCTTCGTGGACTTTCTCATTTTGTCTGAGGTTTAGTAGGCCTCCTACCAGCCCCTTTCTGCCACCTCTCATTCCAAGTGTCTTCCAATGACATGGTGCATGCTGACTCTGATCCTTGCGCTAAGTCTTCCTTAAGTGGACCTTCTAACTTCAAGGCCATCTTTAATCCCACCTTTATTCTTAATCCTACCTTGAACCTTGTTTGCAACTAATTTTAGTCCTAACCTAACTCTTACTCCTTCCTCTATTCCTTTTCCTCCTCTTATACTTATCTGCTGAGCTGGATGTGGTTCACAACCCCCTGAGGACCCTCTGTCTGCTGGCCTCTTTTCAGAGCTTCACACGCTGTGGCAGAATGAGGAACGGGCAGCTATTTCCTCTGGGAAACTCAACGAGATCTGGCACCGAAGACATGACTACTGGCTTCTGGCTGGGATTGTCCTGTATCCTTTGATACAAATGCAAGAACAGATGGTTCTGTCAGTGTGGAGAGGGGGGACTATAGAGAAGCAGAATTCCTTCCCAGGGAAGGGGACACTGTACCACACCTTGGGGACGTCATGCCAAAGGGAAGAAGTTTTCATAGCCAATCCCAAACCTATTAAATTCCTTGATGGTCCCCTTTCCTTCGTCGGCAGTCATGGTTATGCACGGTGGCAGGACATCCAGAATGATGCTCAGTTTGCCATTATCAATGAGCCATTTAAAACTGAAGCCAATAAAGGGAACTTTCTGGAGATGAAAAATAAGTTCCTGGCCCGGAGGTTCAAGGTGAGGAGGATGAGGGAGGAAAGGACTGGGCTGAAGAGGGGCCTGGGTCAGATCTGGTTGGAATCTGGGGAAGGTTAACACTTGGAGGGTTGAGGCTACACTTGAGGACAGGACCAAAGTGTCATCTTGTGTTTGGGGCTGTGGTCTGGATTAGGGCTGATGATGGGGTCACAGTCAGTGTTGGTGTGGACCTGGGGGGGGTCCCTGGTTCTGTGTCACCAACCCCCACCCCCACCCCCATGCCCTCAGCTCCTGGAGCAGGCGCTGGTGATCGAGGAGCAGCTGCGGCGGGCGGCCTACCTGAACCTGTCACAGGAGCCGGCGCACCCCGCCATGGCCCTCCACGCCCGCTTCGCCGAGGCCGAGTGCCTGGCCGAGAGCCACCAGCACCTCTCCAAGGAGTCGCTGGCGGGGAACAAGCCGGCCAACGCCGTCCTGCACAAGGGTAAGGGCCGCGGCGGCCCCGCGCGGGGGAGGGCCCACAACGCTGCGTAAGTCTTCACCCCGCACCCCTCAAAATCTTCCCACCCCTCTGACCCCTTTACCTTCTGAACCATCCCCCTCTGACCTCTAACCCCACCCCTCACCCACCTGGCACCCCCTTGGTTTTTAGCCTCTGGGACTTATGGAAGCCGCTCCTCGTCCATGCCTAATAGCATTCACGTCAGTGTCTGATACAGGGAACTTCCCCTCAAACTGTATGGAACTGTATCCATATCCCCTACATACACTGGAACCTCCTCACTGACCCACACGCTGGCTTACTGCTGATATCACCCACTCCGGGGCCTTGGCCTGTGTGCGCTCCACAAAAACCCTTACCCCTGACCGCACAAATCACATTCCCTTACATCCCAATCATCCCATGAGGCAGAAACTACCACCCATCCGACCCTCTGGCCCTCCCCCCATGGAACTTTCCTTTGCCCTCAACCCTTCCTCCCAAACCCTCTTACCTTGATGATAATAGAAATTCTAAAATCCTCTAACCGTCTAATCCTACTTGATGTAGTGACTTGACTCCTGATCCCTTTGATTCCTGTTCTAATTCCTTGAATCTGTAATGCTGACCCTCTAATGCTCCCTCCCCTTTACATATTAAAACCTTGATTCCTTAATCTTTGATACCACTTACAACCTCCCATGTCTCCTGACTGTTTCCTCCCCATCATCCCCAACCCCTAAACCTCACTCTTCCAATATGGGATGTTCTGACAACTCCCTGCCCCCATGTCTTCCAATGTCCTCCCCTATCTCCCTTTTTTCCATATTCCCTTGTTCTTTCTTCTGTCTGTCTGTCCTCTGGTGATTTGGTCTCTCTCTCTCTTTACCTGACACTTTTCTCTTTTTCCCTGAGTTGCTCTCTCTCTCTCTACTGCTGTCACTTTCTTGGTTTCCGGACCTTTGCCATCTCTGGCCTCCCCTCTTCTTCTGTCCATCTCACCCCTTGTCTCTTTTCCTGGCTCTGTCTCTCTCTTCCCCTGTCCTTCTCTTGTTCTTTCTCCGTGGCCCGGGCCCCAGTTCTGAACCAGCTGGAGGAGTTGCTGAGCGACATGAAGGCGGACGTGACCCGCCTGCCAGCCACGCTGTCCCGAATACCCCCCATCGCAGCCCGCCTTCAGATGTCCGAGCGCAGCATCCTCAGCCGGCTGGCCAGCAAGGGCACAGAGCCTCACCCCACACCGGTAACCCTCTTTCCCCCTAACTCCAGTTTCCCCTGTTGGTATTCCTCCTGCACACATTAATACACTTCCATCAGAATCCTATACAATGTGGAAAAACACGTTGCTAGAACACACTCATCACCCTGTGCGAGTCCCCACGTATATGTCATACTCCTCATAGTTCTCGAGTTTGGCCCATAACAGTTCCCCTACAGATTTTCTCTCAGACTGTGGACCCTCGAACTTCAGCTTGCTCTCTCCTTCAGGCCTTCCCTCCGGGTCCATACGCTACACCTCCGGGGTACGGGGCAGCCTTCAGCGCCGCACCCGTAGGGGCCCTGGCCGCCGCAGGCGCCAATTACAGCCAGATGCCGGCAGGGTCCTTCATCACAGGTCAGCTGGTGATTTTCCTGCTCCCTGCTTCTCCACTCCTCCTCCTTGTCTAAGCATCATCCCAGCTCAGCTACCTTTCTGCTGCTCCAGTCCACCTCATTTCCTTGGAAGTATACAGTGTTTTGTCTCTCTCTCTTTTTTTTTTTTAATCTACCTCAAATCACCTATGGAATGGAGTTGTTCTCGGCTTTGTTCTTCCCATCTCTTTCTTAACCCCTCTCCCATCCCCATCATCAAAACCCTTATCTAGGGTTTTAGTGGTATGTATCTCCTACCTGAGCTGCTTCCATCTGGGTTACTTCAAGGGGAATACAATATGAACTCAAAAGAGATCTGCTGAGAGTTGGCACCTCATGAGGCACAAAGGGGAATCTCAGAGAGGGGTTCTCCCTCGTCTTCCCACCCTTACCCTGGGAGATGTGAAGTGGCAATAGATGTTCTAGAAGTAACAATATACTGTTGTCAGGAAGTGGTGTTTGGGAATGATGTGTCGATTGACCCTTCCTTACCCACTCCCCACGCAGCCGCCACCAACGGCCCTCCAGTGCTGGTGAAGAAGGAGAAGGAAATGGTGGGGGCAGTGGTGTCAGACGGGCTGGATCGGAAGGAGCCCCGAGCCGGGGAGGTGATCTGTATAGACGACTGACCGGATCCCAGGCCTGCCCTTCACCCAGGCCCCGCCCACGAGGCCGGACCCCGGCCCAGGCTTTGGGACCTGCTGCCAGTCCTCCACCTTCCCCACCCCTTGGGCCACCATTGGGCTAGGAGCCCCTTTGCCCCTCTCTACAACTTCTATTTACAAGAAGGACTCAGTCTTTCTCCACTCCCATGCACCTTTCCTGCCAAGCTTTGAAGTGTGCTGGTGAGAAGAGGGTTGGGTGGGAGAGGGTTAGTAGGGTCTTCCAAGAACCTTTACCCCCCACCTCCAAACATACACAGCCTCCCAGTAAATGGTTGTGGGGAGGAAAGAGGTGGAGCCTCCCCAGTCTTTTTTCCCCGCAATATAAGCTCCATCTTCTACAAAAGTGGGGGATGAGCCTGCCTGGCCTTTAGGAACTTTGGGGGGAAAGAGCTCTGAAGAAAGGAGGACTCTTAGAGAGGGATGGAAAATGAGCCCTGGGAGGGAGGAAGGGAAGAGGAGGGGTGGCTGCATGTTACCTTCCCCTGCCTCTCCCCAAATTGAGGGTGGAGAATAAAGGTGCCATTCACTGGCTCAGTACCTGCTGTGTACCTGCATCTTGTGTTGGGCATCTTCCCCCCTCCATAGGGACCAAGGACCACCCCTACAAAAAGAGTAATGGTTGGGCGATACTCCCTCAAGCCAAAGAGGAGCTCCCCAAACCTGTTCTAGGGACCAGGGAACCTAGAAAGGGTGGGAGAAAACACAGCAGGCCAGACGTAGGGGGTAGTCCCCAGCCCGGGTTCACATCCTTAGAGGGCTTTGACCCTCCTCAAGGCCTAGAGACAGACTGAGTGGGTCAGACAGGGGGCCTAGGAAGGGGACGACCTTGCCTCTTGACACCTCTGGAACCAGAGCAAAGGAGTGGAGGAGGGCAGGCTGAGGAGACACGGGCACATTCCCCCTCCCAGGAGGGGCCGGGGAGAGTGGCAGTTTGCATGGCGAACCCCCCACTTCCTCTTCGCTGCCCCTTCATTTTCTTGCTGCCCCTTTCCCAGTCTCTCTTCACAGCCACTCCTGGTCTGTCCCAGTCCCTTCTTCTGTATCAGGTTTATTGGTTGTACATATAAATTATACTTTCCTTTCTGTGTGCTGTTATTTTTGAGTGGGGGAGACCTTTGGTTTGGGGGGGAGGAATAAGGCAACGAAAGGGTGTTGCTTTCTGCCGTTTCATATTGATCTTTTTCTGTCTGTAATCCTGTGATTTTTTTTTTTCCCTCATTTTTATCTCTTGGATCATCAACTAAAACTGTCTGAGGTTTTTCCTTTTCCAACCCCAGCTGTGTGACCGCTCAGTGTAGAGATGGGGGATGAGCGGGAGGGGGTGGCAAGCAGCAGGGGCTACTACTACACAGGGTTGAAATGGGGGAGATGGCCAGGCTCACTGCACAGAACTGTAGAGGGAGGAGTGCCTGACAAGACTTAAAACGGCTTTGCATTCATTCTTTTAATCACCCTTTCCACCTTCAGGTTGTCTAGTTCCCCTATAAGTCAGTAGAGGCCACTACAGCCCCACAGCACAGGCTCAGTTCTAGTATTAAGTAGACACTTTTTTTTTTTTTTGAGGACTCAGGGTTCAGACCTGCATGGCTTGCCAAAGATTGAACTGCTAGACTCTTCCTTGACATATACTATTCACTATGAGAGCCTGTCAGGTTGAGAAAGGAGGACAGACAGTTTTTGAGGCTGTTTTATTAAAAAATAAAATGTAAATGCAGCAAACATAGTAAATTATTGAGTACATACATATTCTACATTAACACTGTTGCTGGCCCTGGAGGTATGAGAGTCACAAGTCAGATGTTGCGCTCGTGGAGCTTACACTCTAGGGGAGGACACCACAAAATAATTTTCAGAAAATAAGGCATTATTATAGGGAAGGTGGGGGAAGGGGCTACACTAGGTTGAATGCTGAGAGGCCTTCTAAAAGAGATGACATTTCAGTTGAGACTTTAATGACAGGAAAATACCAAAATATGGTCACAAAAATTGACGTTTTTGCATAATAACTTCACATTTTTTAACTCAGAGAAAAATGCAGTTATGTACACAGACGACTAACTGGAGATTTCTTCAACAACAGAATGTCACTTTAGAACTTTCAATAAAACAGTATATCAATTATACCAATTGTTTTAAATATTCCACCCACAGATAATGATATCCTAGAGAGCCTAGGACCTAAACCAGTGTGTCTTAAAATTTTTACATGCACAAAAATCACCTGGGATTCTTGTTAAAATGCAGATTCTGATTTGGTAAGCTGGAGTGGGGTCCTGAGATTCTGCACTTCCCATAAGCTCCAAGTGATGCTGCCATTCCTTGACTATACTACCATGAGCTATTTAGTAAGATTTTTAAATAGAATTCATGGCATTCAATAGGCAATGTCCAATTACAGGACACAAGTTTAAAACTGTATAATATTTTTTTTTCAATAATGCCAGTGTTTCCCTGTGACTGTAAATATAAAGTCAGAAGTTTAAAATTTGATGTTTTTACCAAATGGCTCTTCCCTATATCCTTGATAGGCCCTAATTAGATGCCTCAGATAAATGCCCTTTGGACCTTTTGATACCTGCCTTAGCAGACTGAAACGAGATTCTGAAATGAAGCAAGGCTCCTGGGCAGGGAGGCATGGCAATAATTTTAGGAACATAGTACTGGAAGTAGGGAGGCAGTAGGTAGACCAGTAGTGGGAGAAAAAAAAATTTCTCAGCTCCCTTACATGCCAGAGAACTGAGATTAACATGACATGAAAATTAGCCTCTTTTCTCCCGTTTCATCTTTTTAACCATTTCATACCATTGAGACAGAACTGCTATAATGGGACCTGTTGCTCCCACACACCAGCGCTGTCCTGGACAAAAGCCAAAGTCACAGCTAAGAAAACTCTCCCCACAGCAACGTAGGCTTTGTTTACACCAGCCCTGGCCCACTCCATCCTAAATATGTAACACTGGTATAGTCGGTAGATGGGGGCGAGTTCGTCTAGGAGCCTCCCCACCTCGGCATCAGCACCTTCCAGGGCGTTCCCTCCTGCCCTCGGCTCAACTGCCTCATCGCGTGCCAATCCCGGTATCTGCGAGTCTTTTAACATGAGCCCTCTGTAAGAAAGCACGACCCGAAGCTGCAGCTCCCACCTTTCTTCTGCCGTAGCTTCCGGGTTCCTCGGTTACAGCCTGCAGCGCGTCATGTGGGCAATGTCCTCGATCTCCGGACAGTATAGCACTGGGGGAGGAAGAAGCGTTAGTGACAGCAGACGAATGCACCCAAACCCCGGCGTCCCTTGGTGCTCTCTCCCCTTCAGCCTTCGCGGGTTGCCCCTCACCGTTGCTAGGGAGCGGACGCCGCCAATGGTGCGCGGGTGCCAGGACCTGTTCCCAGAGCCGCCGGAGCGCGCGCCACCCTGCGCTCCTCGGCCCCGCCCCCTTCTCGCTCTCTTCTTCGTCTGTCTCTACGTCAGCATCGCCTCTTTCCCTAACCGGGCTCCCCGCCTCATCTTGTTCGCACTTGGCCCGCGCTTTTTCCTCCAATCGCGACCACAAGTCCTGGTCGACAGAAATCTCCGTGACCCCGCCGCGCGGAAGGGCGGAGGGCACGCGGCAGAAGGGGCACTTAACGACCCGGCGCAGGCGCACCACGCGCGCGGCTGTCCCGGTGCCGTTGCCGCGCGCCGCCAGCTCGCGCACGCAGGCCGTGCAGAGCGTGTGGCCGCAGCGGGCGCGCGCCGTCCCGGGCAAGCGGCGAGGCGCGCGGCCCCCGAGGTTAAAGGGCCGGCAGCAGATGTTGCAGTCCAACTCGCCCCGCTCCGGAAGAGAGGGCACCCTCACCAGGAGCTGCATCGTGTCCGCCGCGGACTCGAGGGCGTCCCTAACGCAGCCGGCTCCGTGCACAGAAAGAGCTAGCCTTCCTCTTGGCCTGGGTCGGGTCCTGGGGAGGGGGCCGCGGCCTCTTGCTCCTTTTTAGTAGTGAGACCCCGCCCCTCGACGCGTCACGCCTTGGTGATGCCGCTCCCTGCAGTGGTACGCGTGGGGGCGGTAAAGGCGCGAGGCCCGGAATGCCAGTGATGGCGAGGCGGGGGAGGCGGCCCACGTGATGCCAGGACTGAGGTCGTGGGGGCACACCTCCCCATCCTACCTCCACTCCTTCCTTCATCCCGTAACACAACGCGAGCGCCTCTTAGTTCTGCCGTGTTCATGCCTGCCGATCCCGTCTTGCGCCCCAGCCATCGACCACAGGTCTCTAAAGCCCTCTGGGCCTGTTCATTGAATTGCCGACATTCTTTCACAAGCCTACACAAATAGACTTCCAAGGCCAGTGACACTGCCCGTTCTACTGTTGGACGTTTGAACAGATGCTGCTGGCCAGTAACTTTTCCTCTGCTCTCGTATCTCTCATTATTATACACTACCTCCCTGTATTCTGGTAAAGTTGGCTTCCCAAATTCCATTCCCCCAAAGCTGCTCGATTCCCAGCTGGCATCTCAGCCTAAGGAGGACCTAGATTCCAGGACCATGGCATTACGAATGCTGGGAATCCTTTCCTTCCAGAGTAGCTAGGCCTGGACACCCACGCTCCATGATGGCTCCAGCAAAGCAGCTCAGGGTCAGGTGTGACTCAGGGGTCTGACTTCCGCCACAGGTAAACAGGACATGGCATTCAAAATCCACATTCCCTCGTGGTGCCACACCCAGACCAGCTGCCTTCTCCTCTTCATCACCTGGATCTACAGGTCCAGATTCTGTTGTGGAGGGTAATAGCACAGACTCTGGAGTCACTTGGCTTGACTTCAAATGCTAGCTCCACCACTTAACTAGTTGTGAAATTCTGAATGTTACTTAACTTCTCCGGACCTTGGTTTCCTTATGTATAAAATGTGGATAATAATAGTGAGGACTGAATAGTGCCTGGCACACAGTAAACACGTATTAGCTATTATTATCCTGTGCCCCCAGCCTATGCTGTGTTCACTTTCTCAATAGAATTTCAACCTTCATCTCTCTTGGTCAATACAAAATGGGCTTCTCTATCCCCACCCTATTCACTGGCTATACCAGGCAAAGTAGAGTTTGTTTTGTTTTTTAAACCCAATTGTTGAAACCTGGAAGGTAATCTTTTGTTAGGAGGTATACCACGAGAGGATAGTTACTTTTAAGCAAACATCTAGGAACTTCTGGGTTGTGTTGCCTTTATGATTATTTAGGGGAAGCTATCTACTTATTCCAGTGATGCTGTCACAATTAAAAACTTGTTTGAACTTCTCCTTGGAATGGTGTTCAGAGGTCTCCTTCTTTTAATATCTTCAACTGGTAAATTTTTTTTTTTGTAAGGTAGATTTGATTATATAAATGCTCCCAAAGTGTTTGACAACCAAGGACCCTTTAAGCTTTCAAACCTGTGTATCCAGCTGCCTGCTTAGCATCCTCACTTGTCTTCCAGAAACCAAACTGATGATCTCCATGTCCAAACCAGCATCTCTTCTAGTGTCTTACCTTTTCTTTTGCCCAACTTCAGAAGCCTAGGTGTCATCCTTGACCCTGTCGCTCGCCCTTGCCTTCCTTTCCCAGCTTATCACCAAGCTGGGTTCATTATGCTTCTAAATATCTCTGTCATCCACCCAGGTAGTTCTGTGGCGTATATGTGGGTCTCAGTTGAGAGGAAAGTGAGAAGTACAAGGTAAGGAAGAAGGCTAATGTTGTTGTTGCCAATTGCTGTTAAATTGATTCAGACTCCTGGCGACCCCATCTGTGTCAGAGGAGGACTGTACTCCATAGTGTTTTCTATGGCTGATTTTTCAGAAGTAGATAACCAGGCCTTTCCTCTGAGGCACCTCTAGGTGGACTTGAACTGCCAACCTTTTGGTTAGCAGCCAAGTGCGTTAACTATTGAACCACTCAGAGACTCCATAGGTAATTTTTTTTTTTTTAACATAGAAAGAGGAGCAACAGAACTAGTAAACCAGATTTCTGGGTTCTGAAGAATGTGGGAACTGAAGGAAGGGAGAAAGCTGGGGCCTGGGCTACCTGGTGTCTGGGTCCTTGGTGGGAGCAATGAGTAGCAGCACATGCCTGGGTCACTGAGGTAAACGAACAATGGAGAGAAAGCTAGTATTGAGAATTTATTAATCCCAGGAGGGTGGTTATTGTTGCTAGGTGCTGTTGAGTTGACTCCAGCTCACAGTGACCCCATGTGACAAAGTAGGACTGCTCCATAGGGTTTTCTAGGCTGTAATCTTTATGGGAGCAGATTGCCAGGTCTTTCTCCCACTGAGCCACTGGGTAGGTTTGAACTGCCAACCTTTCAGTTAGCAGCTGAGCTCTTAACCGTTGCACCAACTGGGTAGAGGTAGAACCACATCTAGAAGCCAGATATCTTAGTCTGAGACCCTGTCCCCCACCCCCCTGCAACTTCAGACACTGTGAGGATCAAGCTGAGATTTTATTTACAGTTCCCTGGGAGGTCTTACAGAAAAGGACCATCATTATTGCTTTAGGATTATTGCCAGAAGGAAGACTGCAATCGTCCACTGTCAGGCAGGAAGCCCTGCCTGAGGGCTTAAGTCTATCCCCAGTCCTTTTTGTGCCAGCTCCACGTCTCTACCTGTGACCCAAATGCTATCACTATTTCCTGTGAGGCACAGCCCAACTTTGTTTCCAAGTGCCACCCTGCCCACTTCTGCCAGGTCACGCTACTCTTCTGCCATCAAATTTCCCTGTACCTTGTCAGTGCTGTGTCACTGTATTCCCCACACTTAACCCCCTCTCCACAAGAACAAGGTATTAGTATTAGTTCCAGTTTTTAAGCCCTGTTTGACCTCCTGCCTGGGAGACAGGGTCTTAGATTCCCAAAGATCATCATTTACCTCCTGCCAGGACCAGCCTGGCTACCTTTGTTCCGAAAAACGCAAGAACCCCATTTCCTATATCCCAAGTGACGTCACAACTCATTTCTTACTAGATTACCCCCTGATGACATCTCAAGGGTCCACTTTTGAGGTACTCTGCATGTTTCCTGGATTTGCTGGTTTTTTCTGGGCCTCGGCGATAGGTGGAAGAGAGAAGGGAGTGAGACCAAGTGGCAGAGAGGAGAAGGCCCAGTAGCTCATGCCCGGGTTTAGCAAGAAGGCCTAGAAGGACAAGCGGCAGGAGGCGGGCGGACTACTTTCTCTCTCAAGCGCCACTGCGGAAGGATATGGCTTTGTTCATGCGTTTTGCAACCGAAGCCGGGACTCTTTAGTGGGCGGGACTACCCCGGCTGTGGCCGCTGCGTGGAGGGATCCGGAGCGGGAGAGAGGCTGCTGCAGACAAGCTGTTACCGGGGGGTTTAGAGGCTCTGGGTTTGGGTCCCTGCGCCCCCGACGGACTATTTCTTGGAATGTGGTTTGTTCCCCAAGAGCCCGTATATCTTCATCACCGTCTGCGGGGTCAGCTGGCTCAGCACCTGGAGGAGAATGGGGTGGTGGAGAGGGCAGTACATGCTGGGTCGCTCGCTGAAGAAGGGCATGGGGTTCGAGGACCAGGGGAAGCACCACAGCGGTGCCACGTGCCAAGGAAAGAATCGCAGCAGTGCCCCTGCCTCACCTTGTCGCCCTGAGACCTCGCCTGCAACGTGAGGACCTGTAGTGGGTGACCTCACAGGGCCATTCTGGCTTGGACAGCGAGGCACTGACTCCTGGGGAGAGACCAGAGAGGGCTCTGCCTCTGAGACCCCAGCTTACCTGTAGGGCACCCAGGTGTTCTATCAGCTGCTCTGCACTCGACACCCCCAGCAAGACCGAGCTGACACCCTCACTGTGGAGACACCACGCTAGGGCCAGAGGAGGAAAAAGAGACAACCAATGGGGAACAGTGAGCACACAGCCCTGAGAAGTGTCCCTGAGGAAGAGGATCCTGCCTAGGGGCAAGCCAATCTTAGGGTAATTTGGGAACATCCCAGGAGGAGACAGGGCCCTTGCTGGGGCCAGGGCTGGTAGTGTCTCACCAATAGCAAGCTGGGCCACAGTGCAGCCCAGCTGGTGAGCGATGGGGAGAAGATCCATGATTTTGGCTTGTTGCTTCTTGCCATCCTCACGCTGCACTTTGTCCTTGAGCCACTGGCATCCCTGGATGCAAAGGAGACTCAGCAAAAGACCCCCTTCCCCAAACACATAGAGCAGCCCAAACAGCCCAGTCCTGCCTTCTTAAGCCCCCAGATCTCACCTTGATGGTGGCCCTGCAGGTATCTGGGACTTGCCCAGCATACTTGCTAGTAATGAGGCCACAGGCCAGAGGGGACCAGGTGACCGAGCCAACACCTGGAGGAAGAGGATTGGGTGTGGGGAATGGGATCTAGTCCACGGGTGAGGCTGAGGGGAAGGCAGGGCTAGGGGGTTGCAAACCAATCTTGTGGTAGAGCTCTGGCAGCTGCATCTCCACCTTCTCCCTCTGAAACAGGTGGTGCTCAGCTTGTTCACACACCGGAGGAATCAGATTGAACTGTCTGGCCATGGAGTAGGCCTCCTGGGTTGGGGTAAGGAAGAGACAAGGGTCAGAGCATTCTCTCTATTTCTTTCCACCTCCTCCCCTAGTAGAATGGGAATTGGATTGGAGTGGTTGTGTGAAAAGTGGGGACTGGTTGTGGGGTGGGGGAGGGTGATGACACACTCACCATGATTTCTGCAGCCCCCCATCGAGATGTCCCCCAGTATAGGGCCAGGCCTTGGTTAATGACGTAGGTCATGGCTCGCACAATCTCTAGGCACATGGGAGAGGAAGAGCCTCACTGTCAGACCCCTGGAACCCAGGGCTCCAGATCTGCAGACCTCTGCCTGTCTTGCCAAGACCCCAGGCATCTCTGTGGAGTCAGAGAGGTTGGTATCTGTTCTCCGCCTCCCTCCCTGTCCAAGTCTTGGGATCTCAGCCTCCACTGTGGAGCTTGGCAGTCTTCCTTAGCAGGGTCTGGCTTCCTGCTGAGCATTTGGAGGAAGTGCTCAGTTTTGAGGACTGTTGGGGTTGGGGGTATTGTTTTTACCCTCCATGGGACTGTTGGGGTCTGAGCGATTGGCAAAGACGATGTCCACATATCCCAGCTGGAGCCGTTCCAGAGATCCTTGCAAGCCTGGGGTTGGGAATGGGTAGAGGAAGGTAAGCACCTCAGCCTTAGTTTCCTGAGAATTCCGACCTTACCCCTTGCCATGACTGCCTAAACCCCAGCTCCCTTATGCAAAGTTTCCAATCCAGAGCCTCAGAGAATGTTCCCAGCTTTTTTGGCTTTCACTCCCAGATTTTTCATTACCAAGCCACTTCAGATTCCCAGCCCCTAACTCTCACCCTCAATGATGTGTTTGCGGCTCAAGCCTCGCTCCGTTTCTGCCCTGCAGGAGAAAGTAAGTTAAAGATGAGGTGTGACAAAGATGGGGGACAAGGGCTGGCCTGGGACCATGAGGAACTGGGATTGTATGAGCCCTCACAGGCAGGAGGGGACAGCTGCCCCCAGCCCCATCCTGTACACCTTCACACATTCTTTGTAGGTGTTCCTCCCCAGTTGTAGTGGGGCAGCCACTTACTGTCCTCCCCAAAAAATCTTGGTGGTGATGACATAGCTTGATCTCCTGGAAAAAAGAAAAAAGGAGAACCAGCAAGAAAAAGATTTTTGAAAGATCATGTATCAGTATCCCCTCCCCCCAAAAAACACAATCTCACCTCCAACCTTTGCTCTTGAGGATGTTGCCTAGGGTTCTTTCAGCGCTGGAAGAAAGACAATGCAGAGGCACTAACCCCTCCAGGATAGATCAGTTCCCTCCCTTTCTTCCCACCCTACCCTTCAACTAATTTCTTCTCTTGTAAAGTAGAACATAAACCAGAAATCCATTGAGCACTCAGCCCATCCTGGATTAAATAAGAGGAGCTCCCAGAACTAGGGGTGTAGGGGTATAGTTTTCATTCATTCATTCAACAAATATAATGCATCTACAACAATTGTGAGGATGATGTAGAATCGGGCAGTGTTTTGTTCTGTTGTACATAGGGTCACTATGAGTCAGAATTGACTTGAGGGCACCTAACAACAACAACTATGTGCCAAGCCCTGTTCTGGGTGCTGAAGGGATATAATAGGATGAGGGAAGAGAGACAGATGGTGGTGGAGCCAGGGAGAACACTGCCTTGCCTGGTTCCAATCATCTAGGTTGTTTTCCCCCTTCTTTGAGCCTCTGAGAAGCTCACCCATCCTCCAGAGTTTAGTTTGGTTTCTGCCTCATCCATAAAATAGCCTCGGATTGTCAAAGCCTATGGTCAGTCCTTGTTGGCTTCCATAGCTCTGATCGGCTGCACAATTCTTTGGCACTTCATTTGAGCTACCTTGGGACAAGTCTTAGAGCCCTGGTGGTGCAGTGGTTAAGAGCTCAGCTGTTAATTAAAAGGTCGGCAGTTCAAATCCACCAGCCACCCCTTGGAAACCCTATGGGGTAGTTCTCCTCTGCCCTGTAGGGTCGCTACGAGTCAGAATGGACTTGACAGCAATGGGTTTTGTCTGATAAGTCTTGGGTTGTTATTGTGGACGGTTTCTGAAATGTTTTACTGTGGTTTAATCTTTCATATCTCCCTATCTTGCTTGTTTAGCCACTTGGACTGTGCACTTTTTGAGGGTATGTTGATTCATCCCACAAGCAGTACCTGCTCTGTGGTAGGCTCTGTGTAACCACTTAGGGTGATATGGGGAAGAGCAAGACATGTTCCATGGAAGGATTCTTTCCAAAACCTCATTGCCATTGAGTTGATTCCGACTCATAGCAACCCTACAGGACAGAGTAGAACTGCCCTATAGGGTTTCCAAGGAGTGCCTGGTGGATCTGAACTGCTGACCTTTTGGTTAGCAGCTGAGTTCTTAACCACTACGCCACCAGGGTTTCCTGCATGGAAGGAGGAGCCTCACAATTGAGCAGCGAATAGAGGGCAGTATAATGTGCTTTGGGAGCTCAGGGGAGGGGATAGTGACCACTTTGGGGAGTTGGGCGAAGGCTTCTTGGAGGAGCTGATGTTTGAGCTAAGTCTTGAAGATGAGCAGAAGTGTTTGCCAGATGGAGAAGAGGCAGGGCTGGGGTATCCCAGGTTTTAGCTACTCCTAGTGTGAAGCCACGGGTGGGTGTTGTGGTGTGGTATGTTTGGAAATTCAGCTTTGTAATCCTCACATAATTGCACATAACTGACGCCCAGGATATATGTGTTGGTTTTATTTTATTTTGACTGCACAGTATGCCCACTGCCTCTAAACTGGCGTTGGGACTACAACTCCCATAATGCTTTGGGCGGGGGTTCCCATCTGCTGGAAGGATGGAACTCCTTGGAGGGCAAACAGAAAGCCCTGATGTCCTCTCAGCTTTCCAAGTGTAAGTTAGCTTTTTCACCCCTGTCCTTACTTTCCTGCTGCGTACACTTCAGCGGTGTCAAACAGGTTTATGCCATGCTCATAGGCTACTGTCAGCACATCCTCTGCTGTCTAGAGATGTGAGAGAAAGAGTTAAAGCTCAACCACTGACCCCTCAATTACCTCCCTCACTGCACTCTACTCCATTGCACCCCAGCTCCGGTCTCCACATTCTCTCCCCTTTCCCTTCCTCCAGACCCAGGTTCACCATTCCCCATGCTTATTGTCCACCCCCCATCCATGTCCCCCTTTTTTCTGGTTCCCTCACACCCCCTCACCCTGATTCTAGGTCCCATCACTTATACCTCATCAGAGATCTGAGAACCAAATGTGACCCAGGTACCTGCAGGAGAGAAGCCAGGCATGTGAGAACCGAGGGAGGCAGCTGTGAAAGAATACCCTCTCCCTTTAATTTCTATTCTGTCTGACTCACCCAGGCCAAGACAGGATACCCGAAGACCAGACTTCCCTAGGTTCCTACAGAATATAGAAGAAGCAGGAAGGGGTGGAGCCCCCATTAGGGACCCATATTATCAGTCCCCAGCTCCTTTCCTCCCACACTGAGAAGCCCTCAGAGTGTCTTAGTCCAAAGAAACCAGACTCAGTGGGCCTACAGGATTGGGCAGTTCTATGCCCATAGCAGAGGTCCTAGGAATATTGTTGAAAGAATAACTGAACAGATAAATGAATGTTCCTCTGGAGCCACTGTCCAATGCATCTGTTCCCTCCTAGCACATTTAAGATAGGTTGCCTGGTTTGTTTGCCCCTTGTGTCTCTTCTGGCTGGGGTCTTGTCTGTGTTTGAGGGTCATGGCTGGTATGTGTGTAGTGGGGGGCTGGTAGGAATGTGGCAAGTTAGGGTGTGTTTGTAAGAACAGACACTCAGATGGGGAATGCTCTGGTAAAGAGCGGACACCAGGTGGAAAGGGTAAACCAAGTCAAGTTCAGGCACTCAGGGAGGCAAGGGTCCCTGGGTAGCCTAGGCAAATGGGAGGATGGGCTCCTAACAAAGGCAGGTAGGAAACCCAGGTGGGGAGTATTGGCAGGAAAGCCCAGTTTCCCCTCCTCCCCTCTCCACTCCCTCTGCTCCCTTGTGAAGTGTCACTCCAACCCAGTAAAACCCCCTTCTCCTCCCAGGACCCCCACCTTGGCAGTCAGCTCAGCTTCCCAATCAGGGCTGCCCCATCAAGGGGATCATCGGATTCCTCACGTGACAAAGCCAGGTCAGATCAGTGACCTCAATGGCTCACTCCCTAGCCAGAACCCTCCCCACCCCGACTGCGAGTTCTGAGAGCCCCTGACCCCGCAGTTCTCTGAGATAAAGTCGGCTGCATTTCAGTCCATCTTCCCGACATGGCCCTTGTCCCTCAGCATGATGTTGAGAGATGTGGTCCATCCTTCCTCACGCCCCAAACACCACTCCTCTCTCACCCAAGAAAGGTCGCAGGAGATGGGTCCCTTGGGGCAGGTGGGGGCAGTATCTGGGTCAGGCGCCCTGAACAGGCCAGAGCGAGAAGCCGTTTCCCTCCCTCTCTCTCCTTTCCCCAGGATGCCAACCCAAGGACACTCGATCCAAGATCCAAGGGGGACGCAGCCTGGGGATGCATGCATCCTCTCCCTTCCTCGGGGTAAGCAGGGAAGCTCAGGGGCAGCCCTGGGTCTGAAAGGACTCCGTCAACCTTGGTTAAACTCGCTTCTCTCGCACTCAGGGGTATTGCAGAGACCAAGTAAGGCGGTGCCGGTGATGGGCAGAAGAGTAGGAATGAACCGGGACCTTCCTAGCGAAGTTTGAGGGGGCCTTGGCGGCCATCCCAGGAAACCTCAGGGGTCTAGGAAGGGGATGGGGCGGGCTGCCCAGCCACCCCCGTACCTGTATTTCATGCCAGTGCTTCGGCCGGTGCTCTCTCGGAGGGCCCCAGAGGGCGCTGGGGGTCGGGGGACCAGCGCGGCTTGGGCCTTGGGGCCGGACCCTCCCCCCGCCGGAGGATTCCCGTGCCCCCTACCGGCCGGCCCGCCATTACCGCCCCCAGGGCCCGACCGAGGCCCGCACAGACGGTCCTCACTGCTCCGGCTGCGAAGGTTCTGCTCGGTACACGCGATAGACACCTGCATGCCGGCTGGCCAGGGCGAGGAGGGGGCTCGGAGGGGGCGGGAGGCGGAGGGCGTGGGGAAGCCTGAGGGCGGACGCCCGGGGAAACAGTGGGGCCAGCCCCGGCAGAGCTAGAAGCCTGAGGGGGCTGAGGCGGGAGCCGCGGGGCAGGAGCTGGCCCGCGGGGGCGGGCAGCTGGAGGTCGCGGGGTTTGCGGCGGGAGGGGGTAAACGCAGGGGGCGCCAGGATATTAGGGTGCAGGGGCACTGGCGCAGGAAGTAGGGGGTGAAATGGTTTGAGGTGAAGGTCGAGAGCGGTCCTCGAAGAGTAGGAACCCGAAGACAAGGGGGGGCCCGAGAGGGGAGCCACCTCAACTCTAACCGCAGCGGGACCCGCTAGCCTCCCGCCGCGTCGGCAGCGCGCCCAGCTCATCAACATGCAGGCGCCGCCCCCTCATCTGCATAGGGCCACCGCCTCCCGGCCAAGCCTGCGGCTCATCAGCATAAGCCCCGCCTGCCCAAGGCGCTGGCCGCTACTCGGTCGGCTCAGAGGCTGCGGGAGAACCCAGGAGGGTAGCTCCCACATCTCTGCCGCCCGAGGCAGCTCGGCATTCCTCCAGCCCCGTGGTTCTCAACTGAGAGTGATTTTGCCCCCCAGGGGACATTTGGCAGGGTCCGCTGACATTATAGGGCCGCTATGAGTCGGAATCCACTCGACGTCAGTGGTTTGGTTTCCTGACCCATTTTTGATCGTCATGACTGGAAGGATGTTACCGGTATATAGTGAGTGGAGGCTAGGGATGCTGCTAAAACCCTACAATGTACAAAACAGCCCCCCGCCCCCAACGAAGAATTAGCCAGCGTAAAATGTCATTAGTGCCGCTATTCAGAAACCCACGGCAAAGCCTCTTTGCAGGCCTCACGGGGTGTGGCCATGCTAGTTCCCGCCTTCCTGGGCGGGATGAACCGGGACCGCCCACTCAAATGACAAACTCAGGCTGCAGAGGGTAACAAAAAGTTTATTTTGTGCCTCTGGCAGGGTCTGGAAGGGAGGGGATAAAAACTCTCCAGCTGAGAGGGCCTGGTTTGCAGGTGTAGGGGCTCCTATGGGCGTCCTTCTGGTGGCGGGGAGGGCACCAGCGAGAGGCTTAGGCTGTAGACCTTGGAGGGTTCCAGGGTGGGGGTGGGGGTGGCTTTCAATGGGGCCTTAGGTGGCACAGTTTAGGAAAGTCCCCAGGCAGACACAGATTCTCCTCAGGGTGAGGAGGTGCTTCCATCAGCCAGCGCGGGCGGAGAAGAAGGGCAGAGAGCGGACGTAGGAGTCCAGTCGGGAGCGGAAGAGCTCACTTTGCACAGTTTGGCCCAAAGGGCACAGGGGATTCTTCACCACCAGTTCCACGTACAGCTAAGGAGAGGGAGGGTATTAGGGCTGGCCTTTAAACACTTCTGTTTCCAACCCCAAACCTAGCAAAACCTGGGGGTGTGTAAGTGCACAAGGATCAAGGTTTGGGAGGCAAGCCCTCAATGGGGAGAAACTGATGGTGGGAGTGTTTAAGGACCTAAAAGCCCCCAAGGAAATTCTGACTTCAACAGAGATGAAATAATACGGTTAGGGGGAAAGCTGAGAGAGTCTTGGGGTTCTAAGGGGCCATAGCTATTGAGGAGCTTTGGGGGAAGGTCCCGGGGGCTAGCACTGACCGCACTGTAGATGTGGTGCAGCACATCCCGGATGGGTCCCACGCCCGAGTCAGTATTCATGACAACCTTGATCCCAGTGGGCGTCTCGTAGTAATGGAGTTTGTAACGGCTAGTTTGGAAGGCCAGGAAGCCGTCCTTCCTGCAGAGATGAGAATTTTAAGGAATGGGAGTAAATCTCTCCCAAAGAGATATTTCTGATCCCCTCAAGGTCATCTAAACGCATCCATCTATGTTTGTAGGAGATTGGTTTAGTAAAGACACTTCTGTTTGTACGAGATTGGTTTAGTAAAGACACCTCTATGTTTGTAAGCGCTTGGTTATGTAAAGACACTTCCCATCCTCACCTCTCAGTTTAGCCCCCTCCCCCACCTCTCTTCCTTTTAAGTCCCTGTACCTTCAGACCTTCCCCAGCGCTGCTCCTGCCAGCTCCCACGCTCCCTCTTCAGACTCAGCCTCTAAGTCCCCTTCCCCTCTCTGGAGAACAATGCTCCTTCCCCTACAGAAAGTTTCCCCCACTCCAAAATTCCCAAGGCTAGCCCTCCTTCTCTCGACATCCCCTCCGACTGTGCGTACATGTCCAGCGGGGACATCTTGCTGACAAATGATCGGATAGAGAAGAGCATCCCGTACATCAGCTTATACTCCTGGAAGGAGAGGGGCAGAGTTAACTCTCGGTTGTTGAGGGAGACAAGGTGGGGATGGGCACGGGCCGGGGTTTGGAGAGGAGGGCCCGGGCTGGGACTATACGCGTTTGGAGATGCGAGGACACTAGAATTGAGCCGGGACCCCTGTCACCTCCTCCTTGGGGATCCCCGCTTGCTTCTTGCGGTGCCACTCGCTGTAGTGCAGACACACTCCATTCCGGTCAAACAAGTACAGGTTGTGGACTGTCATCTGCAGGGCAGGGAGTATGAGCCTCGCTCCGGGACCGTCCTCACTCTATCGTCCCCGAGCTCTCAGCTTGGGATCCCTCCACCCAGGGAGTACCCGTCCCTGGACTCACCGGAATCGCTCCTAGTGCGGGTCACTAGCCACTTCCGGTTTTCGCAGAGCCCCGCCCCGCCTGGTCCTCAAGCGGCGGCTTCGGGGCAGTAACTCCGCCCCAACTCCTCTCGCCAGACTCCGCCTCTCTCTCGTAGCCAATCGTTGGCAGCCGGGGTCGCGCAAGCGCGCCCAGCCTCCCAGGGCTCCAGAAGCAACATGAGCTGCAGCCAGTGAGAGTTTACGGCAGGGTGACGTCATCGAAGCGAGGCGGGGCTGCGGGCGGTGGGCGGGAGACAGCCAACGGTTTTGAGGGGACGGCGCGAGGTTACTGGCGTCTAGGTTTTCCCGAACCCGGGCTCAGGGGAGGGAGCAATTCCCTGCCCCCACCTTGGCACTTCGAGGGTAGAGTGGGAACTGAGGGTGTGGAGATTGTTCGAGGTTAGAGGATTTCAGACTAGATTTGAGGGAGGCGTTCGTTTTGGAGACGTCTGAGGGCGGCTGAGGGCTCAAACGGTTTCTTTTGGGGTGGTGGGGAGAGAGCCCTGCTATGGCTCTTTTGCCAGGAGGGATAGGAGGGGGTATGCAGAAGATTTGATCCTAGGTAGAAATGGGTGAAGCAGCGCTGCACGTGACATTCCAGTCTCTCTGAGACTAGAGCCAGTTGGGGGACAAATAAGGCAGCTAGACAGAAACTAGGCCCCTGTTGGATTTGGGTGCGTTTCACTTGGCATGTTCTGGGTGTGAGAATTAAAGAGCTCAGTTGACGATGGATAGATAGCCTGTACCGAGGTTTATCTCCCTGCAGCTTCCACCACTCCTAGTTGGGAAGAGGTGCTGTTGCCGGCAGTAGGTCTTCTGTCCCCACCTCCTCCGTGCTGCATCCTCTAACCCCCCTCCCCAAGACCTATGAAAAGGAATGCTTTTGCTCTCTCGCATGGCCTCTGGAATCCTTGGAAACCTTTCCTCTAACCATAAACTCTCCATACCCTTGAATCACCAAGGATCCTTGTCTTGAAGTCTTCCATTCTCCCAAATCTTCCTTCTCGTACTTTACCCCGGCTCTCCTAAAGCAGAACCAGGAGTTCCCAGCTCTCTGCTGTCTCCAGTTATCTCTTCCCTGTACTCATGGCGACATCAGTTCCCAGCCCCAGTTCACCTCTCCGTTCTGAGGATCTCCTGAGTGATTCATCAGATCCCCCTGTGCTGAACCAAGTGTCCTCTGAGGTGACCTCCCAGCTCTACGCTTCTTTGCGCCTCAGCCGGCAGGCAGAGGCCACCGCCCGAGCTCAGCTGTATTTACCCTCCACCTCCCCAACTCCTGATGAGGTGTTAGGGGGATTGGCCCAAGACCTGAATCGAAGCTTGTCAGTCGGATTGGAGAACAACTTGAAGAAAAAGGTGAGAGATGTGTGTCTTGGGGACTTTTAGGGTACTAGACGCCAGAGTCTTAGGGTTGGGGGTGGTAACAAAACAACAAAAAACTGCTGAGATTTGAACTCCTGTTAGTGGATTTCAAATTCAGTCATGCTTTTTCCTGGCAGCAAATGTTTTATGAGGGAGAGAGTGGCTGGGACACCAAATTTGGAAAATTGTAACACTTCCTAGGGTTTTTTTTTTTTTTTTTTGTTAGAGACACCTACACTGTAGGGTAAGTCAATGTGTCATGACTGAGACCTAGGCACTGAGAGTGGGGATAAGGTTTCTCAATCTCAGGAGGGAACTAGGTACTTAAGAATAGCAGCAGAATATGCTAAAATCCTTCCAGCTCAAAACTGTTCTGATTGTGTGATTCAAAATTTGGCATGTAAATCATTAAAATGTAGTTTAATCAGTTACACATACTACAGAGAAGATAGTTATTACTGTTGGATAGAAAAGGTGTCGTAACCAATTTGCAGACTAGTAAGTCTTCCAGAATTTGAAAACTGATAGGCTACCATCTTTAGGCCGAGTGTTTGCTCTCTAGTTGGCAAGAATCCCCAGCACTCTTGCCTTATACCTGCCAAATTTACTCATTTACACCATCTGCCTGCTTCTGTAGGTGTTTGAATTTCTGACTCAAGGTTAAGATATCTCTTATTGGATCAATTGTTTTGGTTTTCCCAGATGCTGGGACAAAGATTCTTGGGTTTTAGGGGTGACTGAGTGCTATCTAGAAGTCCCTAGGTGGTGCAAATGGTTAAATGTTCAGCTACTAACTGTAAGGTTGGTGGTTCAGACCCACCCGAGGTGCCTCAGAAGAAAGGCCTGCAATCAGTCTGCTTCTGAAAGGTCACAGCCATTAAAACCTTACTGAGTGCAGTTCTATTCTGCAACACATGAGGTCGCCATGTATCGGAATCTAGTCAGTGGCAACTGGTTTGGTTTTCTGAGTATTTTTGAGTGCCATCCACCTTGGCAGTAGGTAGAATATAAATTACACAGGTTGCATCTGATACCTGCATTGCTTTGTCCTAGGATGGTTCCAAGCATATCTTTGAGATGGAAAGTGTTCGAGGTCAGCTCCAGAGCATGCTCCAAACCTCACGTGATACAGCCTATCGTGAGTAAATCGCTTCCCTAGAGCTATGAAGGAGAACCTAGATTTAAGGAGTGGGAGGAAGTAGAGAGAGGAAGCAGGGAGGAAAACTTAGACCTCTGAGACAGGTGAGATTTCAGGAGAAAGGGCTTCATTCTTCGGTAGTGGGCGAGGTAGAAAGGAAAGACCTCATCTCTCCTTCAAGTGGTCCCTGTTCCCGTCCTTACCTGACCCTGGCTGTTGGGTGGTCCCTCTGGCTGCTTGCAGGGGACTTCCTTACTCCAGGTGCTGGCTCCGAGAGACGGGAAGAGGACTCTTTTGACAGTGACAGCACAGCCACCTTGCTGAAGTGAGTTTCCCTTGGGGTTCTCCTAGCTTGCTTTCTTTCTCAGAAATCCAAGTGTTCTATTCCCTAGTTCTCTCTTTACTGTTTGTATACCTCTTGGGGACCTAAGAATCTTGTCCCTTAGCTTTTGATTTTCATTTTTTCTCTTCTATCTTCTTATCCCTTCAGGAACATGGGCATCTTCTGTCTAATACCTGCCTTTCTCTCAACCTCTAATCCTTCTTCCCCCAGAAGAATTATTTCGTGTCTGCTGACATCTTTATTGCAGAGGGAGTGTGGTACCGAGGAAGTAGTGCTACTGAATGAATCAGTGAACCTATGTTCTAGTTATGGCTCTGTCACTATCTAGCTTTATGATTTTGGGGAAGTCTCTGACCCTTTCTGGGTTTTAGTTTCTTCATTTGTAAAATATCACAGTTGGGCTGTGAATCTCAAAAACTTTCCCAGCCCTAACATTCTTTATCTGATTTGCTTAGCACTCGGCCTCTGCAAGAGTTATCTCCATCTAGCTCAGCCCAAGCACTGGAGGAGTTGTTTCCCCGCTACACCAGCCTTCGGCCAGGGCCCCCACTCAATCCTCCGGATTTTCAGGGCCTGAGAGATGCGCTGGATTCAGAGCATACCCGCCGCAAGGTGAGACACGGAACTGGAGTGCTGAAAAGTGCTGAGAGTTAAAAACCTGAAAGCTGGGACTTTGCTCAGCTGTCTCTTCAGGGAGACCTTCTTTGGTCACTCTTATCTAAAATGTCACACGGGTCACTATGAGTCAAAAATCAACTCGAGGGCACCTACCTAACAACAACATCTAAAATGACACCACCTCCCCTCTAGATATTCAGTCAGATCACTCTGTTATTTCCTTCATGTAATTTATCATAGTCTGGTATTCTAGTTTATTTCTTCCCTCTAAAGTCTAAGCTCCATGAGGGTCACTACTTTATCTGTCTTGTTCAGCACTGTCTCCCTCGGGTCTAGAATGTACCTAACTCATAGAAGCACTCCCTAAGTGTTTGTTGAATGAACAGTGAACTTTGCTAGTTGGTGCAGAGGCTTTATAGCTATTGGTGTGAGCCTTAGCCTTAAAGTCTGAAGGGTACAAGGCAGAGGAAACGGCAAAATCATTGGCTGTCATTTTGAAACTCACTCTTTTTCTATTTTAAACTGCTTGGGCATGAATGAGAGGCTTTTCCCTTTATCCTTACTATGTTTTACCACTGTGTCCAATGAGCTACTTAAGGCAGGAGTACCTTCCCACTCTTTGCAGCATAGGCTACTGCACCTCTGTCAAAGGGTTTATGGGAATTTTTCTCAGGAGATTCAGGAAAGGGAAGAGCCTGGAAGCTGAGTACCTATTTCCTGAGAAGGTAGAGGACAGTGTTGGGGGTCTTAGGCTACCTGCTCCAGAATCCCTGATTTTCCCTGTCCAACCCTATTCTGTTCTTAGGGGCTGGAGGTTCCCTGTCTCCAGCTCATTTTCCCTATAGAGGAGCTGGAGAGTCTAGGGCTTTGGTTAGACTAAGGATGGGCAACACCCAGACTCCTCACCCTTCTTTCCAGCATTGTGAGCGTCATATTCAGAGCCTGCAGACCCGCGTGCTAGAGCTACAGCAGCAGTTAGCTGTGGCTGTAGCTGCTGACCGCAAGAAAGACATTATGATTGAACAACTGGACAAGGTACCAGGACAGCAAGATGTGGGTGGGCCTCTCCATGGAGGACATAAGAAAGAGTAAATTAGATGGTGGCCTATCAACATTTCATTGTACGTGCTAGGAGCTGGGATAAGGGTGTGTTTGCCAACTGTTGGGCCAGATGACTGTTGACACCCTTCCCCCCACCACCACTTTGGGTGGAAGGAGCTATAAGTTATTTTGAAATTCCATCTTATTTGTCCTTCCTGAGACCCTGGCCCGCGTGGTAGAGGGCTGGAACCGGCATGAAGCTGAGCGGACGGAAGTGCTTCGGGGACTTCAGGAGGAACGCCAGGCAGCTGAACTCACCAGAAGCAAGCAGCAGGAGGTGGGCAACCTGTGTCACATGACATTAAAACCTAGGTCACAGGTCGCTAGATGGAAAGGGGCAGAAATAGCTCTGGAGTTAGAGTTCCCAACAGATTGACCTCGATCTCACAGTAGCTGTCATGCCAACTCTTCTCCGTCCCTATTTCCTTTCCCTTCACTGTTTCTGCTGTCATACTTTCAGAGTTGATATATTCCCAGTTTTTCCCACACCATATAGTCTTCTCTTTGGCCTCCTAGTCATTTAGTTACTTGTTAATGCTTTTTAAAGTATTATATACAGGGATTTTCTGCAGTTCCTCTGTCCTATGTTCCTCTCTCCCTGAAAGACAGTAACCCGCCTGGAACAAAGCCTTTCTGAAGCAATGGAGGCCCTAACTCATGAGCAGGAAGGTGCCAGACTGCAGCAACGGGAAAGAGAGACACTGGTGAGAATGCTGGACTAGGTTAATTCTGTTGGAGACTGTTAGTTGCTTCTCCAGAGCTATGGGCTATTGGTAGATGGTGGGAGTTTATAGTGTGAGTTGCACCAGGGCAGTGTTTCCCAAAGTGCATTCCTCAGAATGCTAGTCCTGCTAGATACTCTACAGTAAATGAGCTCTGGGACCAAGTAAGTTGAGAGACTTTGCAAATTGTACCCTCAGAGCATTAGAATCATCTGAGGAATTGTTTTAGTCTAGATTCCTGGGACCCATCCCTAGAGTCTTTGATTCAGTAGATATATGGTGAGGTTGGGAACCTAAATATTTTTAGTTTTCCAGGTTATTTTGTTCAGCCAGGTTTGGGAACTCTGGTCTAGGATGTAGCCTAAAAAGATGTGAGAAGAGGCTTAAGTTTCTTAGAGCTGAAACGATATGATGATTACCCATGTGAGTTAGTAGCCGGGTTTGGAATTTGTTGCATGCATGACATACACTTGCCACATGCATGCGGGTACTTGTAGTCTTAATGGGCTACATTCAACAGTGATGATGGAAATTTGCTCATTGATTACATGATTGTAGGCTGGATATCTTAGTCTTCATGGCATTTCTTTTGATGATGATGGTGATAGCTATTACTGTGTATATTAAATACTTACTATGTGCCAGACACTGTGCCAAATGCTTTACATACATTTTTTAACTTTAATTCTCATATTATCTCCATTGAGATAATTTTGACTTTATTTTACATTTTTTTACGTTAGTCCTTATATTATTATCTCCTCCAGATGAGGATGTGTGCCTAAGAGCACGCAATAAATGACAGCACTGACATTCAAACTGAGATTTGAACCCAGGTCTGACTCAGGAACAGGAGCTGTTATCTACTATATTATACTTACAGTCCTGTGGGCTTGTCAACTATTGCTTCTTAAGAGGCATGATTCTTAGCAGGCACATTGTATGGGAGGGGGCAGATTTCTGGTCTCTTGAGCATGCTAAGGATCTTGGTTTTCTCCTGGGGCTATAGGAGGAGGAACGGCAAGCCCTGACTTTGAGCTTGGAGCTAGAACAGCAGCGGTGCCAGACCCTACAGGAAGAACGGGATGAGGCTCGGGCTGGGCAACTCAGTGAGCATCGACAGTTGGAGATGCTTCAGGCTGCCTTAGAAGTAGAACGACAGACATGGGCCCAGCAAGAGCACCAGCTTAAGGAACGCTACCAGGTGCTGCAAGAGGAGGGCCAGGCTCAGTTGGAAAGGGAGAAGGTAAAAGCAGCAATTGGAAGAATTGGGGAATGGGAACAGATGAAGGACAAAATAATTGAATGGGGCGGGATGCCAGAAGGTAGGAGGACGAGGATGGAGAGTGAACTATATGTGGGAAACAAGACTGAGAGTGTAGGGCCAGTAGGAAGGGCTAGGGCATCCAATACATGGAAGGCCACAGAGCGGGATTAAACAGAGATGAGGAGCTAGGACAAATGTGAGGAGCGAGAGAGAAATGGAAGGACAAATTGGGGAATAGAGGTAACCAGGCAACAGGAAATGAGGTGTGTACTTGAGTTTGATTTCTCTTTCTTAGGGAAACACCCAGAGGGAAGCCCAGGTCGCCCGGGAGGCCCAGCAGCAGTTGGCGTTGGTGCAGTCTGAGATGCGGCGCTTAGAAGGAGAGCTGGACACAGCTCGGAGAGAGCGAGATGCCCTGCAGCTGGAAATGAGCTTGATGCAGGTCAGGAGGCAAAGTTCTTAAGGGTTTTTTCTGGTTGAGAGAGGTAGTTCTGGGGCAGAGTGACCTCTCAGTCAAGGCAAACACTATCATTTCAGATTAGTTGCGGGTTTATTCCGTCAGCAGTTTCTGTGTAGTGTGGGTAGTGTTCTGTCTTAAACTCAGAGTTAGTTCTCACTGACTGACAGTCTCCCATGATGTGTCAGACTGACCTAATGTTACTTTTAGGGGTAAATAGACTAAATCTATTAAAGGTATCTTATGTTATTTTTGGGAAGAAATGACACCACACTTAGACACCTCACACGTGGTGAGTGTGAGCAGGTGAAAATTTTTGTCAGATTTCATTCCAGTCTTGATAGTCTGCTTTGTAATTCTCATTACTTGAATAACTTGTGTTCCAACTCATATTGACCCTATAGGACAGAGTAGAACTGCCATAGGGTTCCCAAGGAGCGGCTGGTGGGTTCGCACTGTTGACCTTTTGGTTAGCAGCCTGAGCTCTTAACCACTGCACCAGCAGCCTCTGGGATTATTTGAATACCTTGTGTTTATCCCTCTGAGGGAGCCCTGGTGGCGCAGTGGTTAAGTGCTCGGTTACTAACCAAAAGGACAGCGGTTCGAACCCACCAGCCACTCCGCAGGAGAAAGATGCGGCAGCCTGCTTCTGTAAAGATTTACAGCCTTGGAAATCTTGTGGGGCAATTCTCCTCTGTTCTGTGAGTCAGAATTGACTTGATGCCAACAGGTTTCATTTGGTTTGGTATCCGCCTGAGTAGGTGGGGACCCAGGAGGGCAAGATTGTTTTATTTACTTAAGAAATCACCGTAACAGCACATGGCTTGGCACAGAATAATACTCAAAATTATTTGTAAGATATAATTATACTTTGAAGATCATTTGCCATCTTGCTAGCCTTTTGATTTTTTTTTAATTGAACTAAAATTCACATAACATAAATTCACCATTTTACCTGTATTTAATCCTCTATTTTCTTCTAAAAGTCTTAAAGTTTTGTTTTTCACATTTAATTCCTCAATTTATGTAGAATTAAATTTTGTGATGATGAGAGGTGGATGTCAAATTTATTTTTTACTGTAAAATTCACATAACATAAAATTCACCATTATAATCATTTTAAATTGTACAGTTCAGTCGCACTTGGTACATTGACAGTGTTCTATAACCGTCACCACTATATAGTTCCAGAACATTTTCATCACTCCAAAAGGAAGCCCTGTACCCATTAAGTATTCCCTCCCCATTCCCTCCGCCTACCAGCCAATGGCAGCCACTTACCTTTCTGTCTATAGATTTGCCTGTTCAGATATCTCCTATAAATGGAACCATACAGTATTTGTCCTTTTGCAATTGACTTATTTTGTTCACCATAATGTTTTCAAGGTTAATCCATGTTGTGGCATGCATCAGGATTTCGTTTCTCTTTATGGCTGAGTAATGTATACTGTATTTATCCATTGATCTGCTGATGGACATTTTGGTTGTTTCTACGTTTTGGCTATTGTGAAAAGTGCTGCAATGCACACTGGTGTACAGGTTTCTGTTTGCAATCCTGCTTTCACTTCTTCTGGGTATATGCCTAGGATTGAGATTACTGGGTCATATGATAGTTCTGTGTTCAACTTTTTGAGGAACTTTTTTCCACAGCAGCTACACTATTTTACATTCTCACCAGCAATTGCCTGTTTTCTATTGGGTTATTTGTTTTCTTATATTGAGTTTTAAGAGTTTTTCATATGTCCAGATATAAGTCTTTTATCAGATATATGATTTGCAAATATTTTCTCCCAGTCTGTGGCTTGTGTTTTCATTTTCCTTCTTTTTTTTTTATTGTTGTACTTTAACTGGAAGTTTACAATTCAAGTTAGTCTCTCATACAGAAATTTATACATACAGTGTTTTGTGACCCTAGTTGCTCTCCCTATACTGTGACAGCACACTCCTCCTTTCCACCCCTGATTTCCCGTGTCCATTTAGCCAGCTCCTGACCTTCTCTGCCTTCTCATCTCACCTTTGGACAGGACCTGTCCATTTAGTCTCATGTATCTTCTTGAGCTAAGAAGCACACTCTTCATGAGTAGTGTTAATTATTTTTATTATCATCTTTATTATTAGATTTTTGCAATCCAGTTGGGGAAAATGTTACCTCAGTGTCTGTAAAGATGTTCTTACTGGCCTTACTTGGGTGAAAGGAGAGCTGAGCACTGTGACTGACTATCCCACAGAACAATATGGGGGAGGTAATTTCACAGACCAGTTGCCAGTTGAGTCAAATCAATTCCAACTCATGGCGACCGCATGTGTGTCAGAGTAGAACTGTGCTCCATAGGTTTTCTTTTTTTTTTTGTTCTTTATTTTATTGTTGTACTTTAAGTGAAAGTTCATAAGTCAAGTTAGTCTCTCATACAAAAATTTATACATACATTGTTATGTGACTCTAATTGCTTTCCCCATACTATGACAACACACTCCTCCTCTCCACCCCTAATTTCCCATGTCCATTCAATCAGCTCCTGAACCTCTCTGCCTTCTCATCCCACCTTCAGACAGGAGCTACCCATTTAGTCTCATGAATCTACTTGAGCTAAGAAGCACATTCTTCATGAGTATCATTTTATGTCCCATAGTCCAGTCTAATCTTTGTCTGAAGAGTTGGCCTCGGGAATGGTTTTACTTCTGAGTTGACAGAGTGTCCAGGGGCCATGCCTTCTGGGTTCCTCCAGTCTCAGTCAGACCATTAAGTCTGGTCTTTTTACTAGAATTTGAGTTCTGCACCCTACTTTTCTCCTGCTCCATCAGGGACTCTCTGTTGTGTTCCCTGTCAGGGCAGTCATTGGTGGTAGCTGGACACCATCTAGTTCTTCTAGTCTGAGGCTGATGGAGTCTCTGGTTTATGTGGCCCTTTCTGTTTCACGGGCTAATACTTTCCTGTGTCTTTGGTATTCTTCATACTCCTTTACTCCCGGTGAGTTGGGACCAGTTGTTGCATCTTAGATGGCTGCTTGCTAGCTTTTAAGACCCCAGATGCCACTCACCAAAGTAGGATGCAAAACATTTTCTTAATAAACGTTGTTATGCCAGTTGACCTAGATGTCCCCTGAAAGCATGGTCCCCAGACCCCCGCCCCTGCTACTCTGTCCCTCATGTTTTCATTTTCTTAATGGTGTCTTTTAAAGAGAAAGTTTTTAATTTTAATAAAGTCACACTTACCAATTTTTTCTTTCATAAATTGTGCTTTTGATGTTATATCTAAGAACTCATTGCCACAGTTATGGATACTTCCTAGACACAACCAAACACCTCACGGGATTGGTCTACTGGGTTTGAGGGCATAGTACCATAGTCTCATGGGGCAACTCAGTCAATTGGCAAAATATAGTCCATGCAGACAGTGTTGTACATCCTAGTTTGGTGAGTAGCGTCTGGGGTCTTAAAAGCTTGTGAGCGGCCATCTAAGATACAACTGTAGGTCTCTACTCATCCAGAACCAAAGAAAAAGAAGGAAGTCAAAGACTCAAAGAAGAAACTAGTCTATAGAACCAGTAGTCTACATGAACAATGATATTGCGTACCTTGAGACCAGAAGAACTAGATGGTGCCCAGCGACCACTACCAACCATTCCGACTAGGGACTCAATAGATAGTCCCAGACAGGATGGGAGAAAAATGTAGAACAAAATTCAAATTTCTAAAAAAAGGCCAGACTTACTGCACTGGTAGAGACTAGGTGAACTGCCGAGACTATCACCCTGAGATACTCTTTAAACTTGGAACTCAAACACTGCCAAAGGTTACCTTTCAGTCAAGTCACAGATTGGCCTATGAAATAAATAGTATCACCCGTGAGTACTGTGCTTCTCAAAATAATTGTCTAGGTGAAACCAAATGGTTAACATTTACCCTAGACCAAAGATGAGAAGGCTAGGGGGGACAGGGAAGCTAAATTAATGGAAACGGAACAACCAAAATGGAAATAATGAGAATCCTGATACACTGTGAAGAAAGTAACCAATGTCACTGAACAATTTGCATAGAAATTGTTAAATGAAAACCTAATTTCCTGTGTAAACTTTCACCAAAAGCACAATAAAATATTTAAGATAAATAAATAAACAAAAACTCATTGCCAAACCCAAGGTCACCTAGATTTTCTTATTTTGCATTTTACGTTTAGGTCTATAATCCATTTTGAGTTAATTTTTGTGAGAGGAAAGTCTAAGGTGTATGTCTAGATTCCTTTTTTCACATGTGGATATACAGTTGTTCCAGGACCATTTGTTGAAAAGAATATCCTTTCTCCACTGAATTGCCTTTGCTCCTTTTGTCACAGATCAGTTGACTATATTTCTGTGACTCTATTTCTGGGCTCTCTATTCTGTTCCATGAATCTATTTGTCTATTCTTTTGCCAGCACTATCCTGTTTTGATTACTGTAGCTTTATAGTAAGTCTTCAAGTTGAGTAGTGACCTTCCAAACTTTTAACTTTTTTTTCCCTTGCCTTAATTGCACTGGCTCAGGTCTCCAGTACAGTGTTGAATAGTGACAATAGACATCTGTTGCAGTTTAGGGCGGCGAAATGAACAAAAGAGACAGACACACACAAGGACAAACAAGACTGCAGCCCCGAGGACTTGCAGTGGTTTATTTTTAAGGTCTCCGCCTGGGCATTATTCCAAATATCTGGTCAACATAAGTTGTTTTTCTCCTTCAAAGCACATCAAGACTTTTGTAAGTATCCGAACTTATCTTTTAAGGCTCACAGATCAGCAAGTTCTCAGAGACTCGGTGTTCCCTCCCGTTTGCAGGAGGGAACGGCATGTCAGCGTGCAGGACATGCGGTCCAGATCCCGGAGACCTTGAAATGAGCTCGGGAGTGTCCGCGTGCAGATCATTCCCAGGCTGATAATTTCCCACAGACATCCTTGTTTTGTTTCCAACATTAGTGGAAATCATTCAGTATTTCACCATTAAGTATGATGTT